ATCTTTTACTTAAAATATGCTATCTTGATCCTAATGTATTTCCCAACCTGGAAGTAATGGTATGCTTACATATTTACAAAAAAAATGGTTAAAAAAACCCAAAAAACTCATCACGTTTTCTTCCATTATATTTTCATCATAAATTTGAGTAAATGCAAAGGATATATCATAAATGTTTACATTTTAAAATGTTACATCGCTCTTTTAAAATTATTGAGAAAAGTCTTAAGTCCCCTGGCAGTTTGATAACCATCAATATCTCTGTAAAAATGAATAAATTAGTTAGGAGAAAAATTTTCATTGCTACCTTTCCTCCTTAAATTCTTAACTGTATTTTTATTTTGCTTCCATAGAATTTTATTCTAATAGAGATTTATGCTCATAATTTGAGTACTGTATCATATTCTCTGCAACAAAACTGTAAAATATGAAAATGAAATTTTCAAAGTTTCATCAGACCCTAACAGTTGTTTTCTTACAAATTCAGAATGAGCATTTTTACCATTCAGCTGTTAAACAGTACAAATACATTACATGTGTTGATAAATGTTAAACAAAAAATGTTACTAGAAATGTATCCAAATGGATGAGCTGTTCCCCCGTGCGTGCACACACACACACACACACACACTGCTTGAATGAGACTACTTCAGCCACAATTTTATTCCCATTTTTTGTTTTCATACAATAAGCTGAGATAAATACGAAGATGCAGATGAATGGGCTTTGTTATAGTAGGGTGTCAAGTTTGTGAATCTCTTTTCATATAAAAAATTGTTATCGATTTACCATCTTAGCTAGATCTTCCTCCAGTTCTACTGAAAACAGAGAATTGGAAACCACCTAACTAGCAGGATTTGTTACCCAGTCATTAAAGTCACTTTCTCATTTGCTGGGAAGTGTACCAAAAAGTCTTTACTAAGATTTACCAAATGATTAATTAAACATCTTGAGGGAAAGCACATTGTCCTAAGTTCATGTGGACATTGCAAGATCTGGAAGCCAATTTCCTTTACACTGTTTGTCACTGAATACTTCAATTTGAAATCTGCTGGTAAGCACTGCTGAAGTTTAGTAGGTAAAAGCCGGATAGCGTGCCTGAGTAGAAACATTAAGTGACACGTGTACATGTGTTGGGTTACTATGAAGCCTGTATGGAGATCAACTGAAGATACAAGACGCTGTGATTAGCAGAATAAGATCCCATAGTTGGGAAAATGGATCTTTCAAGAGCAGAGAAAGAACACACTGGTGAGGATGCAGAGTGGGTGGCAAAGGCATGTTGCAGGAAAAGAAAAAGGAATTTAATCTTAGTGGAAAATAAGGGCCTGCCTTGTCTTTGAGAAGTTAGGTAGATGTGTGAGTAGGTATGAAAGAATACAGATTGCACGGCAGTGAAGAGGACACAGTATAATTTTTAAAACCGAAGGTGGGCTATACTCAGCCTTTTTAGCAGCCCCAGAAATATTGCTGGAAAAAAAAAAAAGCAGTTGGTGGTGCAGCTTGTGGTTGAGCATCCTCCTACTAGAATGTGAACTCCACAAGAGCAGAAATTCTTGCCTTTTAATGTCTCTCCAGCACTTTCAACTGAACCAGACACATAAGAATGGAGAGCATAATGAAATGTGTTACTGAAGGCATCACTGAAATGGCTGATTGTGGGATATAAAACTGTGTACAGGGGGCAATTAAAGATCAAATCAGATCAATGAACTGGAAGAATTCAGAAACCAGAAATTAGGGGGAAGGTCAAGAGAAGGTTCAGTGTATGATGGAAATTAGACTGGAAGAGAAGATAAGCATTTGGGTTCTTAATGACAGAGCAATTCTGAGTTCTAACACAGTGCAGGGCAATGTGTGGCTGAGAGGGTTTGGAAATATAGGTCACTAAAAACCAAAAACTCATAGCTGTCAAGTTGCATCAGACTCCTAGCAACCCCTTCTTGGGTTTCTGAGACAGTATCACTACGGAAGTAGATTGCCCAACCTTCCTTCCTAGGAGTGGCTGGTGTGTTTGAACTGCCATCCTTCTGGTTAGCAGTCAGATGCCTTAGGCACTATGCTACCAGAGCTCATATAGGTCACTAAGGGCTAGAACATCAAAGCCATATTGTAGAAAGAGGTAGCAAACCAAAAATCCCCAACCTGCTGCCATCAAGTCTGTTCTGACTCAAGTAATCCCGGTGTGTTAGAGTTGAACTGCTCCATGGGATTTTTTGTGGCTGTAATCTTTTATGGGAGCAGACTGCCAAGCCTTTCTCCCATAATACCACTGGGTGGATTCAAAACAACCTTTAAGTTGACAGTTGAGTAAACTAAATGCTAAATGAGAGCCTTAAAAACAGGTGCATAGGTAATGAATTCACTGAAGGTAATGGGAGATGAAAATCCGTTTTAATGTGTCATGGATTCAATTGTGTCACCCAAAAAATATGTCAGTTTGGCTGGGCCATGATTCTCAGTGGTCTGCCAGTTATGTAATGATAAAATCATACCCCATGATGTGATCACCCAGTCAGTTGTAAAGGGATTACAGTGGGATGCAACACCCTTAATTAGGTCACAGCCCTAAGCTGATGCAAGGGGAGTTTCCCTGGGGTGTAGCCTGCATCACCTTTATAAGAGATTAAAGGAGAGAGAAGCTGCAAGAGAGGAAGGACCTACTACTGCCAAGAAAGAAGAGCCAGGAGTAGAGTACATCCTCTGGACCTGAGGTCCCTATGCTGGGAACCTCCTAGGCCCAGGAGAAGATGCCAAGATACGTGGAAATCGCCAGGATGCGAGAAGGAGACAAGGATCTTCTTCCTAAGAGAAGGTCTGTGAGCCAACAGAAAGAGAAAGTCTTCACCCTAGAGCTGGCACGCTGCAGTCAGACTTCTAGCCTCTAAACTATGAGAGAATAAAGTTGTTTGTTAAATCCACCCACTTGTGGTTATTTCTGTTATAGCAGCACCGGAGGACTAAGACAGTGTGTTTGGTTTGCTGTTTACAGATAACATCAGTCAGTCATACAAATCGAATTACTGAAGACTAAAAGTTGGAGGACTTCATTTAAAGTAACACAAGGATATGTAAGTGTAGTTTCAAATAAAAAAGATCTAGAACAAATTTATTATCAATTGCAAAGCTAAATTCTATTTTTGTGAACACCTTTAGCAAATATTAATTTTTAGCTGTGTTTCTTATAAACAAAATAAACAGCAAAAAATGAAGCAGGCGACAGCAAATAAGGATAACTCAGGGCATTCTAGTTCCTAACTTGCTTTCCCGATTACCCTCCTCTGGCCTTAGAGAGTTAGGCAAATCACTCTACTTCCTTGGGTTTCAGTTCCCTTTAACTAGAGTCCAACTACTTAGTCTCCCAAGATTCCATCTAACTTGGAAATCCTGATGTGCTGGAGTGCCAGCATGCAAATGCAGAGCCCGCTAGTGGTGTATTAAAACCTGTCCACTTTATACTCCCTGGGAGGTGATAGAAAAGGTTGTTTTAACACTTCCAGGGTAATGTGTTCCATTTCTTGAGGTTATTAGAAAGCATTCTTTAAGACCTTTATTAAGCTGCCCTCTAAGGCCAAATCATTCAAAAGGAATATGAGGTCAAAGAAATTAAATTCCTGTTGATTTGGCTAATTTGAAGGGCCCTTCAGAGTCTTGTCTCTTTGGCAACACTGGAGTAGAAATGAGGGTGGAATTGGCCCTATGGTATTGAAAAAGTTGCAGTAATGTTCTACCCTTTCAAAAACGTCAGAAAAGAGTGGGTGTTAAAGAGCAAGTGTGTGTCTTTGGAAAGGGTATCAGTGTACTACAGCTGGTTTAATAAGATTGTGCCGTATTTGTTGTTAGTTGCTGCTTAGTTGTCTTGAAACTTGTGGCGACGTAGTAGTTAAAGCATTCGGTTCTTAACCCAGAAAGCATTCAGAAAGGTTGGTGGTTCAAACCTACCAGCTGCTCCATGGGAGAAGATGAGGCAATCTGCTTCCGTAAAGATCTGCAGCCTCAGAAACCCTATGGGACAGTTATACTCTGTTCTATAGCGTTGATATGAGTTGGAATCAACTCATTGGCAATGCGTTTGGTTTTGGGGTTTTTATTCCCATTACTTAAGTGGAAACCAGAATGCAGTTTAACTTCTTAAGATTACCATGTGCTATGCTGGCTAAAACCTCCACCTATCCCTGTTTTTCCTCTTTTCTCCTAGCCTGGCATGATAGAAAAAGCCAGTGATTTGAAAGATGAAAAAACTATGTACTTAAAGCTATCAGGCAGTTAGAACTTTCTTAAGAAAACCCAGGCTTGTGACTAAAAGGCCATACTTTCTTAGAACCCTTCATTGATAGTTCAAATTTCCTTTAAAAAAAAAAAGAGAACTCTGCAGTTCCACAAATACTAGCAGAATCACTAAAAGAAATACTAACATCCAAACAAAAAACATGATTAATGAAGAAGTTGCATGTTTTATTAAACTGTTTCTTATTTTGCTACAAGGCTATTGTTTCACTGTATAAAAATAGCACCAGCGAAGGCAGTGTATATTATTGCAAAATTAAGAGTACTACTCTTCAGCTGACACTGTACAAATAACAAAAACTTTATCACCACTTCCAGTCGTGTTCAGTTGAAGGATCATTAGGTTCTCTGACCAAATCCAGGTATGGATGTCAACAGTAGTTACGATACTATGTATGGCTTAAGATAACAGTGTTATCCTTGAATTACATAATGTTCATAATTTTGTTACCAAAATTGATAATTTGTTACCAAAAAGATAATTTCATGAATTTTGAATATTATAATTAGATCCTAACCTAACAGTCACAGGGTGCTGTGAAAAAGATGTTATACTGGGTTTTATCTGTAGTCCTCAAAAAGTTAAGGGGTGCTGTCTTCCAGTAGCATAGCAGCAAGTAGCTTGTTTTCCACTGGTATTGTTAGAAGCTATTTTAATTCTCTCCATCACTAATTGAAGACAACTATGCTGAAGTAAGTTGTTTCATACTAGTTTATTTAGGGGTTCCATCTTCACTCTCTTCTTCAATAGATTTTATGTATTTCCCATATGCTTCTTCACTCATCAGTTCATCAAGTTCTGATGGATTACTCAGTGTCATCTTGATGAGCCAACCTGCAGGAACAACAACAAAAGCTCTGAATCTTATATTCCAAACTGCCTTTTTAAAGAGTAAAAATCAAATTCATTCAAAATGTAAAATAAACACAAGTGCCTCAAAATTAATCTACTATTCTTCATATAATAAATTACTATCATTATTCATGCAAGGAGCTTTTACATTTTAGCCTCAAGAATTAACTGAATAGACATCCTTTTCACAACTCAGGAGAATTACAACAAAAACAGAGACTACCATAATGGATTGAGAATTCTTAGGTTGTAATAAGCATCATCAACTGACATTTTAATAAGGAATCCAAATATATAAAGCGAGGTGTATCTTTCTTTATCAAAAGGTTACCAACACTAACTAAACTGCAGTTAAGGGTATAAAGGAGCACAGTAAGGATTAGGAAGGGATAGATGACAGGTAACAGAGAAGTACAACCCAACCTGGTTTTCCCATTTACTGGCTGTGGGACCCAACAAGGTGACTCCTTGGGGTCTCAATTTCTTCATCTACAAACTGGAGGAACTTGCTGCTGGGCTACCTCTTGCTGGGTTATTATGAAGATCAAAATGAACTAATATATATGAGGAAACTAAAAATTAATGCAGTAAGGTGTTTTTTCTATTGCCACTTACATCACACCAGCAGGAGTGCATGCTTTATATCGGAAAAGGTAAACACCGTAGTAACCAAAGGAGCTCTGGTAGCGTAATGCTTATGGCACTTGACAGCTAACCAGAAGGCTGGCAGTTCAAACCCACTAGTCACTCCTCAGAAGGAAGATGGGGCAATCTTCTTCCGTAGAGATACTGCCTCGGAAACCTGAGGAGGGGTCGGGTCGCTATGAGTTGGGGTCTGACTCGACGGCACATAACAACAACATAGTAAACAAGGAGTCTACAGCTTGACACTAAGAACACTGCAATTTAAGGCAATGTTTTATCATCAGTGATCGCAAATACCATCTATCTTATGGATTCAGCTAATCTATGTTTTCCTTTTTAAAGCAAAACATCCCTATTTAATACCAAGAAGTGGAAAAAAGTTTATCATAATCAGCTAAGCTTGCTTTATACTCTAGATGAAATGTTAACTACAGCAATAACCCTTTGAAAGATTTCTAGCAATAGCTTACCATCTTCATAACAAGATTTGTTAACAAGTCCTGGATTTTCTGTAAGAGCTTCGTTAATTTCTGTTACTTCTCCTGATAAAGGAGAATAGAGTTCACTAGCAGCTTTCACACTTTCCAAGGCACCAAACTCATCTAAGTGCAGAAAATATTAGATGTTAAAAGTGAATGACCCGGAAAGAAAAAGTAAGTGGTCATTGCTAATACATTCATATCATCCATGACAAGGATATAAATACCCTCAGTGAGCAGGCCCATCTGCTCTACACACTGAATAGGAGATGCACTTAAGTTCTGTAAAATTTAACTTTCTTTCAATTCACTGTAATAGTTTGAAAAAATAAAAACTTTAGGAGGTTTCAGTAATGGTGGAATAGTGCACATCAGACTAACCATTTTGCAGACAGTAATTATAAATTCTGAACAAAACAAAATATAATTATATGAAGGCGCTACAGAGTAACTGAAAGGGCAATCCTTGAAGGAAGGGAACTAAATGGGGTGAGATGCTCATTTTCCCAACATCACTGCCCCATCCAAGTAGCACAGAGAGACTACAACACAAGCAGAAAATCATGGTCTTAATGTCTTCTGGGTTCAGAAGATGGGGTTTAGGGCTGCCAGAGTGGCTAGAAATTGAATAATACCCCTCTCTCAAATAAAGGGGAGCTCTGGTGGTGTAGTGCCTAAGGCATCTGACGGCTAACCAGAAGGCTGGCAGTTCAAAACTACCCAGCCACTCATCGAAAGGAAGGTTGGAAAATCTACTTCCATAGTGATACTGCCTCGGAAACCCAAGGAGGGGTTGCTATGAGTCAGGACTGACTTGACAGCTTGTTGTTGTCGTTATGTGCCGTCGAGTCGGCTCCGACTCCTAGCGACCCCTCCTTGGGTTTCCAAGGCAGTATCACTACGGAAGTAGGATTGCCCAACCTTCCTTCTGAGGAGTGGCTGGTGGGTTTGAACCGCCAGCCATCTGGTTACCAGGCAATTGACTTAGCCACTATGCTACCAGTGAGTTTTTTTTCTCAATAATTACCAGTCAAGACACAGTTTAAACAATCAACCTGCTTAACTTACAGAGATATACAGAACACTATACCAAACAAAAGGAACCCTGGTGGTGCAGCAATTAAGCTTGGCTGCTAAACTAAAGGTCCGTGGTTTGAATCCACCAGGCACTCTATGGGATAAGATATGGCAGTTGGCTTCCATAAAGATTTCAGCTTTGGAAACCCTGTGGGGCAGTTCTTTTCTGTTCTGTAGGCTCTCTATGAGTCAGAATCAACTTGAGGGCAATGTCTCTACCTGACAAAGAATACATAATCTTTTCAAGTACATGTGAAACATTCACCAAGATAGACCACATGCTAGAACATAATGTCACAATTGCAAAAAAAAAAAAAAAAAAAAAAAGTATGTTTCTTTAAATTAATAAAATTTGAATTAAGTTAGAAATCAGTATCAGTGAGCTATGTAGAAAAGCCCCAAATTCTTGGAAATTAAACAACACATGTCTAAATAACTCAGGGGTCAAAGAAATCACAAGGGAAATCAGAAATTATTTGAACTAAATGACTATGAGAATACAACATACGAAAATTTGGGGGATATAGTTAAAACAGTGCTTAAAGAGAAGATGTACATTTTTACCTTTCATTGGAAAAGAAATTTTTAAAATCAGTGATCTGAATTCTAAAGACAACAGAAAGTGAATAAAGGCAGACAGACTGTGAAGAGGAAGCGACACTGGACAGTATGACATAGGAAAGGTGTTTTTTGTTGAAACTTTTTTTTTTTTTTAAATGGCTTTTAGCTTGAAGAGAGGTACCCACAATTTGCCATGTGAAGTGGTCAAAATTCTAAAAGAAAATCCCCAGTCTGACTGGTTTGAAGGACCTGAAGACAAGAGTTTGAGACCCCACAGCTACAGGAAAGTAAGGTGGGAAATTCCAAGAAGAAACTGAAAGGGAGAGCCCCAAATTCTATGTTTAACTCTGCCCAGATTGCTGAATGATTCTGGGACCATCATGCACAGGGCAGACTCAGAGCATCCTGACTAAGGCTAAGGGGACTGAAACAAGATTCCAGCTGCCACCCACCACAGGGAAACAGTGTTCATAGTCTGAGGTCAAAAAATAAAGTACCTACTAAAACAAACAATACTCCACTGATCTAAACTTTATCTTAAGCTAGGAAAAGAGGAGCAAATTAAATCCAAGTATACAGAAGGAAGGAAACAAAAAAGAGCAAAACGAATGAAATAAGTGATGTGGTAGTTCAGTTTGTGTGTCAACTTGGCTGGGCCTGGTTGAGTGGCTGGGCAGCTGGATGCAATATTCCCCATAATGAGACTCCATGGTGGAATCTACTGGGAGCAGCTGAGTAGCTGCCTTTGGGAATGTGGTCTGCTTCCTGTTATTTAAGCACAAGCCTTGGGAATGGTCTCTAGCCTATGGCATGCTTGGACCCTGCATGTAGCTGTGTCGTTGCTCAGCAGCCTGCTATGCTCTGTCGACCTTGGGACTTACAAAGGACTTAAGTTAATGGCCCGCCAGGTGGTTTGGTAACATCGGGACTGTGCCTTTTTACTTGTCAACCTTGGGGCTTCTCAGCCTCAGCAGCCAGCAGCTGTCTGAGTGAAGAAACGCCTCTAGCTCCAGTGGGCCGGGAGCAGGAGGCAAAGCTGGACCCCAAGTTTGAGGGGCTTTCACCCAGCCCCTAGAACCTGGCACTCTGAACTTGGACTTAAAAGCCTCCAAATTGTAAAAATAAACTCCTGTTTGTTAAGGCCATCCCCTTTGTGGTATATTCTTGTCAGAGCAGCACTAGGTAAGCAGAACAAGTGAAAATAGAGAAAATTAACAAAGTAAAATGTTTGGTGTTTAACAAGATTAACAAAAATAATAAATAACTAGGAAGCCTGAACAACAACAATAAAAAAAAAAAAAATCAGTTATCCACAATACCAAGGAGTGAAAAAGCACTCCTCACTATAGACCTCCACCATTTGTCTGTCATTCTGTCGTACTGTGGTGGTTTGTGTATTACTGTGAGGCTGGAGGCTATGCCACCCGTATTTCAAATACCAGCAGGGTCACCCATGATGGACAGGTTTCAGCTAAGCGTCTAGACTAAGACAGACTCAGAGAAGAAAGGGACATGTACTTCTCAAAGAACTGGCCAGTGAAAACCTTACGACTAGCAGTGAAACATCATCTGATACAGTACTGGAAGATAAGTCCCACAAGTCGGAAGGCACTCAAGATACAAGTGGGGAAGAGCTGCCTCCTCAAAGTAGAGTTGACCTTAATGATGTAGATGAAGTAAAGCTTCAGGACCTCCATTTGCTGATGTGGCACGACTCAAAATGGGAAGAAACAGCTACAAACATCCATTAATAATCGGAACGTGGAATGTACGAAGGATGAATCTAGGAAAATTGGAAGTTGTCAAAAATGAAATGGAACACATAAAGATCGATATTGTAAGTATCAGTGAGCTGAAATGGAATGGTTTTGGCCATTTTGTATCAGACAACCATATGATCTACTATGCCAGGAATAACAACAATTCGAAGAGGAGTGGTGTGGCATTCACCATCACAAAGTTTCAAGATCTATCCTGAAATACAATGCTATCAGTGATAGGATAATATCCATATGCTTACAAGGAAGACAGTTAATACTTCCATTATTCAAATTTACACACCAACTACCAAAGCCAAAGACAAGGAAATTGAAGATTTTTACCAGCTTCCAGTCTGAAATTGACCGAACATGCAATCAAGATATATTGATTATTAACAAAGGAAAAGAGGGAGAGAATACAAATAACACGAATAAGAAATGAAATGGGTGACATCACAACAGAACCAGCTGAAATAAAAAGGATAATAT